CTCTAGTCTTATACTGCTAAATTAGGGATGGCTAGCGCAGATAGCCTTCGTGTAGCTTTGCGCGAAATTCAAAACAAATAAACAAAATCTTATTCACCAGCTGCCATCTCCCTTCTTCATTTTGGGAGATTTTAATGGACACACTTCCCTCAGAAGTGGTGCTTATATTGATGGGAGGGGTCGTTCTGTGGAGTGTATACTCTCAAATCACAATCTTTCTTTCTCTTCAATACTGGTTCATTTATCTATTTTAATGCACCTAGTTAGTCTTTTACTACTGATCTATCTATCTGTTCACCTTCGCTTTTTTCTGATTTTTCTTGGATGGACGATAGTGACCCACATGACAGTGATTATTTTCCCATCATTTTGAGGGAGACTGCCCATGGTCCATGCCACCTGACCCATGTGCCATGGTGGAAGTTGGAGTAGGCTGACTGGTTCTCCTTCACCACTCTTTTGGAACTTGATCCTGCTGTCGTTAGTCTTCCATCTATTAATGACTGCATGGGGGCATTAACTGATTATATTATTCAAGTAGCTGTTCGTTACAGCCCCAAAACCTCGACATGTTTCCCATGGTATCCTCGTCCATGGTGGTCTCCTGCCTGCCAGCAGGCACAGAAGGCTCAGAAACAGGTCTGGGATATCTTTCACGGGTATCCCACTTTTTCAAACTGCATTGCTTTCCAGCAGGCTCGGGGCCATGCCTGGCTGGTCAAGCATCAAATCCAGAAGGAATCCTGGATTAAGTTCACTACCAGCATTTCTTCTACCACCAGTTCCAAAGTGGTCTGAGACAAGATTCGGAAGGTGAGTGGAAAGTATGCTTCCCACCCCTTTCAATTTTGCTCTCCAATGGCCAGGAAGTTGCTGATGTACAGAGCATCGCCGATACCCTTGGGGAGTGCTTTTCGACCTTTTCAATACTTCTATTTCTTTTACTGCCTTCTTGGCCATCAAATCTAGGGCTGAGAGATTGCCACTTTCCTTTTGGGAAGATCGTCTCTATAATTATAATTGCCCATTTACACTGGTGGAAGTTAAATTTGCTCTTCATTGGTTTGGCAGTACATTTATCTTCCTTGATCTGTGAATACTGTATTTGTATTATAGTTACCTCAGTCACCGAGCCACAGTTTACATGGCGATTTGGCTAGTTATACCTTGTATATACGCTAATATTACTGTACTATTAATTTTATTATCGTAGGTACTGTTTAATCTAGTACATTGCTTGATAAAAATTGAATTGTGTTTTCTTTGTATTATACGTTCAATTATATCAACATTATAACCTCTATCATTAGCAATGCTTTTTTATATCCTCGTAATGAGTACATGTTTGTCAAGCGTATTTCGTTAAGAGTAATACATTTGAAATATAATTGGCTGATTTACCATGTCTAAATAGTTATCCAGTCGTGTATAATTCTCATGACTCACTGAAATATTTTAACTCACCTTGTGAGATGATTTACAACGCTAGGTAAATGTAACACAATGTTTATAGTTTGTAACACGTAGTTACCTGACTTTTTAACAATACGCAAATTCACATTATATTCTTAATCTGTTACCTTATGAGATTCAAGAAATGCATTACTAACATAAATTAATAATATATGTCATAGCCCCATCAAATTTTTCTTTTAATTTACTGACTCCTCAAATGTGTATGGTCCACTGAAAGTTGAGTACGTTATATTAAAACGGTTTTAAAATACAAATCATCAAGTCATTTAACAACGACGGCCGATATAAAGTCACAATGAAACTACATGTATCATAAAGATGTGTTTAGATTGAGGATCTAGAATTTCCGAGAGGGAGATATACTTTGTACTGAACACCATTAAAAACCAAAGGAATAATAATCAACTTAGGGTACCAGGATCATCCAAAATGAGACCTGCAACAAGTTGAACCCCAACTGTGGCAAACAAAATGCGTAGACTTCTAACAGGTGAAAATCCATAAACACAGAGGTTGGTGACAAATACCGTGCACATTCCCCAGGCAACGGTAAATAACATCTAGAAAAGCGACATAAGTTACGTGTACACAAGCTGCTTTGACAACGTATCCGCTCAATCGTCACATACCTCAAGCAGCTGGAGAATGAAATAAATATTTCTGCTATTCCATGCGAAGACATACCTTTGAAGCCGCCAGACGCAGCGCTTATGGAATTCTGTTGAATCAGACTATTGACACTAATATATTAGATGAACTTATGGAGGAATGATATTCTTTGGATATGACAAAGCTAAGCTGCAACAGTATTGTCACGTAGCACTGTCGTTACACAGAGCATGAGCAGACGAGGCGATATGGACTGAAACGACGTGGTGAGGCTCTAAAATACTTTTTATATAATGTAGTCATCCTCTGTATAGAAGCTAATCAGGTCATAATCTTATTTAAAAGTACAAACTCAAATATTATTTTCTTTTAGATATTGGTTTCTAGTGTCCAACAATTCACAAAATATTATCATAATTGTTTTCAGTTTGAAATTGATTTTACTTGCAAGCTTAAAGATTGATACGTTTTAAGAAAAATGTATCTAGTAAAACTTAAAAATTTATGTCCTAATAGTTACCAGATTTTATTAGAAGATTTACAATGCTATGATCCAGAGTTCAATTCCGCTGGGGCCAAAACGTAAATTGGCCATTGTGTAGCTTTGCATTAAAAAAATAGCAGGAGGATTTAAAATAGCAAATTTCATAAAAGGCATATATTGTTTTAATTTAATACTATCTATGTTAACAAAGAAAACTTAGAATAACATATATCAATATTACAGTCAGTGGTGTATATTGAAACTTTTACTGATACATACTCTTACGTTTCCGTTTGTTAGTTAATTTTCCGTATAATTTCTTTCGGAAGAAATGTTAGCGATACAAGTCCTTTCTTAAATAAAACTGGTTTATTCTTTCTGAATACAACTTTGCAATACACTTAATTTCCACAGTCGCGCTATAACAAACGCTATAATTCACAACAAACGTCTCACGTGCTCAACTCAACAATACTCTGTCCCCAGTTCAATTACATATTGTTCCCGTCGCTTCTTGGCTGGTCTTATATATACAAGACTACCCCATATCTAGTTGTCTCCCGACGCTTCATGAACGTTCTAGAAGCGCCTGGCGTGTTACTAGCGTCACGTGACCTCCGCTGTCGTAACAATATATTTGAAATAATAAAATGAATTCGAAACAACAAACTTAATTTATTTAGCCAAACTTCTTTTAGGCTTAAGGAATCATCATCTACACTAACTGTCCTCTCATGGATGCCAAGATGGCATCTAAGTTTACCAACGCGTATGCAGGTAACTGAAAGCCAGGCCTTACAAGAAAGGATTGTGAAATCAGATACGTAGAATTTACACACACGTAGAATTTTCTTTATTTGGACATCCGATGCTGTATAACATCAAAAACGTTTCGACACACTATTTCCAATCCAGCCCTCTAAAAAATATAAAACTTTCTTTAACTACTCCCCCACACAGATAAACTTTCTCGATGTCACTTTCTATACGATGGTTGGCTCTTGTAAAATAACTTAAAATATGAACAGACCGCAATATCTCTGTGACAAATACAAACTTACTGACTATGTGCGTTATAAAGTACTAAATAAATGGATACATGAAACATAGATATAGAAAAATGTGTAATGAAGGTTCAAATATCCAGAGACTGTAGTTTACTTGAGTCATTGATTAATGTATCATCCAGTAAAATATTTTTATTAATACATCAAGAAGCTCGATTTGTAAGTTTCTTATCTGCAAGATTTGATCATAACTTTATAATGCGCATACGGCCCCAAAGTGTGAGGCGCGTTTTTATGGCAATGGAAGGCGATTCCTGAACCTTCAGAATCACAGTCCGGCATGCTAATCACCAGGCCTCTGCCAGCTATTTTTATGACCACTGAGGACTGGATTAAGAATACAATGCTTAAACATTTATTAGACCTAATACTAATGTCTGATAATAAATATAGTCGTAATCATTATTCGTCTGCTTGTAAAAAGCGTTCACAACATAACTATTGTTATCGTATCAAATGGCTTATATAAATAATGTTCCGACTACTATTGTGTTCGTTTCATCTCAGCCGGCCTGAAGAGCTCTGGATTGAGCGAAACGCGTCCTCGGAAATGGATATGAAACATATAGTGTAGTTGAAATACTATTATTATTCATTCTTCTAATTCTTGAAAATCCCTCGGGGACTAGATTAAGTGTTTAAAGATGTAATAGGTGTAATACTAACGTCTTATGTAATTATAGTTGCTTTCTTTAACGTATATATTTTTTATCATCTTGTATATCCCAAGACTTCCAGCAATCATTGTTGCAGTATCTGCTGCTTGTCGTCCTGAGAATTATGGATCGAATTCATAGTATGTATGTTTTTCATTGTTTAGTTGTTTTTATAACTTTACCGCTACTTTAATATCATTTTTACTGAAGTAAGTAACTTGTTGTATCTATTTATATACACATGTTAGATACGTGAGTTTCAGAAAAGTGACCGACACTGGATTTGGTATATATATATATATTATTCTCCTCAAAATTTCACAAACCGATTTTGGTGAAAAACGTTAAATAACTATAAAGACTAAGTACCGTTTCGTAATTTTAGTTTACCTTTTTTATAGCTTCACCTGTGTGAGTTTGTAAGATGCTTTCGCAATAATTATATTGATCTGTAAGGGTAGGTAATGAAAATATAAACTGGAAAAAATCACCCAGTTTGTCTGACATCTTTCAATATCACAATGAATTTTGATATATAACCAACTGGTCTTTCATTTATACGGCGATTTTAATCACTTGGTTTTAATACATTTATCTATATCTTTGAAACCTGCAGTGGAGCAAGGATATTATATTCTAGTCTAAACAAACCACGCAAAGGAGAAATAATAGGCTTATCCAGTAAGAGTATCCCTTTCCCTTCTGGAGAGGTTGTTTTTACTGGTTGAAATCACAATTTCATTATTTTAGAGTCAACATAGGTCTAATTCATTTACATTTTTGGGAACTTTAAATGGAATTTAACCATGTAACGAATCAACCGTCATTTTGTTTAAGACAAATAACATGGGCCTGCGATGGTTTTATTGTCTTGAATTTTTTAATGTTCTACAGTAATTTCTGTACGCTGAATGCGAAAATGATTTCCATTTTTCTTCATCACGTACGGATTTTTCACAAAACGTTATAACGCAATACGTAAAAGAAAGACCACAACACGTAGTTTTGACGTAGATTTCACAAAAAAAATCAGGATGAATAATGATGTATATTCGTTTGACATCAATGTTCTTCCCTTTTCTTTACTTTGTTTGTATTTTTGTTAAGAAACATAATAATAAAAAATGTTTATTGTGGTAAACGAAATAATAATTTAATCTAAGTAAGAGTTTTTTCTTTCCGATTTGTAAAAAAATCTTACGTGATACAGAAAAATTAATATTATTTTCGAAATCTGCGTACCATCTGCGTCTCATGTAACACTGGAATTATATACAGTTTTTTAGGGTCAGCTGTGGCCTAGTGACTGCCTTGCCCAGATTGTGGATTCGAGAGTTTGTGGTTCATAACCTGTTGCAAGAAAAACACTCCTCACTTTAGAGTTATAGATGTGTTATAACAGCAACGGGCAAATCCCACTAATTGATCAGAAAAGGGAAGCCCAAGAGTTGTTTGTGGGTGCTGTTGACTAACTTCCCTCTAGTCTATGAGTACAAAATTAGGGACGGTTATGCGCAGATATCTTTCTGTGCAGCTTTGCGGGAAATTCTGAAACAAACAAATATACAATTACTTGACAATACCTATTTAATGGAATTGTGTGTAACTCAGATGCTCTATTGATTCATGAGCTTCGTAGAACTGTCAAGTGTAATTTCAAAGCTGGAACATCTTGTCAAGGTTCTTCTTTTGTCATATTTTACTGAAAAGATACTGCTTTAGCTAAGTTGATATTCGTGGTTCTTTATACCAGGTTTCCTAGCGATAAGACAAGTATGATAATATTAAACATTCAAACGTGCAATGGGATCTCTGTGCTGTTTGCCACTGAGGTCAGATACGGAATTCTAGCGTTGTAAGCATTAAACTAAAGATTTCCGCTGAGCCACCAGAAGAACGTTATGATGTACAATAAGCGAACCATAACGAGGGAAATTACTGCAGAACATGACAATGCTTTTGTACACTAAAATGCAGTTAAGATGGCATTGGCTGAACACTATTCACTAAATACATTGATAAGATTATGAATTCACATATATAACAATGACATTGGGTAATCGTACTCTACGAGATGGATTTTGACTAAGAAGCTGCGCTGAATTATTTGAAACAATTAAGTGTCTGAGCGGAATAATACAAGTTAAGTATCACCAGAGGGAACAAGGTTACTGTACAAAATAATTATAATAACAATTTGGCAAGTAGGTTAAAACTGTCTTCGAGATTGATTGACCCTCTCTTTCCTAAATGTGATAAAATGATTAGATTAAGTTTCCAATGAGAAAAAATGTTATTTGGGTATCTGACTGAACAATGAACATCACTCTGTTTGCACATAAAATGGTTGTAAAAGTGCGTTCATGTTACATATTTATCATTTTAAATGGTAATATACATACGCAGTGTATCGTTTTGGTGTTTTTAACATACTTCAAGCCGTTTGTATTAATTTATATAAAGAAACTTTATTGTATTTGGTACATTGATAAAATAAAAAGTATTCTGAACTATATATATATATACCTACAAGAATTTTACCGCTCCCAATGTATAGATATGTGTACATAATAATTTTCAAGTAAAACCATATATTCGAGCTTCTCTGGACTGATACTTATTTGTTCTTTAGCTGTTAGTTGAACCCCAGTTCAACTTAGATATGGGCATTTGTGGGACCTATAGCAGCAATTACTTTGGTAAGTATAGTATTTTGAAGCTTACTATTAAATTTAATGAAATGGTAATAATTCGAATAGTAGTTACATATTTTTAATTTGAGTTCATTAAGGTTTCGCATTTAATATCAGCAGCAGGGTGAAATGTTATTAGTGAATTATAATGATTTTAAAGTAATACGTATATTTCCTGCATCTTTCTAGTCACCTCCATTTCATGATCAGGAAATGGGGGTAAAATGAGTCAATAATTAATAAGGTTAATGATTAGGTTACAGTGATGTTGCAACTAGTCATTCAAGTTTTTCCTTACGCTTAGGGAAACATCATTGTTCTCGTGATGGTAACGAAGATTACAGGGAACGTTGCTTCAGGTAAAGGAAATACCAACTTTAGTCGAAACTTATTGAACGTCAGGTATGTTATTGTTGATAACTGGAGAAGAACAATCAATGAACACTATTCTTTCGAACAACTTTTGGAAACCAAAACCATTCTTCTTTATTTACATCTTTTTTTTTATACACTTTAATCTGGGACAACTTCGAAAGCAAAGAATAGAAAATCGAATTAAATATAAAAAAATACATTAACTCTGAATAAAGGAAAACTGACGAATATAACTTTTAAAGATACAGTTTTCCTACACATAAAGTTTCCAAACACTTTTAATTGTCCAAACAATGTGCTTTGGTCACTTTGACACTTCAGCATAAGTATAACGCTTTAAATGTTCAAAATACTTTATTTTCATTTTATATTCCTTTGGAGAGCAGTCACCTGCCCACTACTGTCTGCAGGCAGTGAAGGGTGATATAGATGTGGGACGTTATGGGCTTGAGCGCCCACGTTACTCTCCTAACTTCTTCTTATTTTTATTTGTCTTACTTATTTTATTTTTACCCTTCCTTCATTCTTCGACTAGCGAACGGAGGTTAAGACTGGTAGACGATGTATCCTCACCGTTATGGAGGTTCTACTTCTGCAGTCACTTCCAAAACCCAGAACACATCTTATATCCCAAATTATAGCCTGTGCCATGGTGATCTTTTTAATATATGCTGCGTTTTTGTTGTAGTTGTAATCCATTCTACTCAAATTAAATCTTTTGGTTATAGTTAATATAAGTTTAACTCTGTTTTAATTCTCTTTTAACAAAAGAAAATGGGCTCGAACTGTAATAGTTCTTTCCCCAATTCTCGGAATCACTTGGATTATCGGATTTCTACAATCAATCTTCAATTCGTCCCAAATACCAGGCCATATTTTTGCTGTCCTGAACAGCCTCCAAGTAAACTTATTCAAAAATATAATAATATCAGAAATCATTCTTATTTTTATTTCATTTTATTACTTCATCACGTTTTTTATATATGTGTAAAACTGATTTTATTGGATAAAAGTATCCTGGTCTTGTCCGGAGGCTACTTTGAAGTTGAATGCAAGGAAGTAGAGAATTATCATAATTAATAATTTTTAGTAAAAGATTGTCACAAATAAGGCCTCTCAAGGAATTATTTTTGGAATTATTGCTTTATATTATATAAATTTATAACAATGATATTTTTAATAATGTGCTCATTTTGTTGTCAAATTTTGTTGATGATTAAAAAACTACCGTGGTAGGTCTGTTCCAGAAGTATTTGGGCAGGTTCATCAATATATCTTGTTGGAGATATGTAATACGAATTCAAGAAAGGGTGACAACTTGCGCATTGAAACTTGTAAGGCACTCAGTTAATTCCTGGTTGGGATATCCGTGTGCAAGAAGAAAAAGAATTAAGATGAGGATTGTTTGAATAGAACTGGAATTCACGTGTAGAAAATTTAAAAGACAATATTGAAATCTTTCTTACGAAACTAATATTGGAAACAATGTATTAAAGTATTTAATTTGTTTGTTTATAATTATGCACAAAGCTACACAAGGGCTATCTGTGCACTGCCCACCACGGGTATGGAAACCCGGTTTCTAGCGTTGTAAGTCCGCAGACATACCGCTGTGCCACTGGGGGGCAAAGTATTTAATACTGAAAACATACAAAATCATTTGAAGAGAGCAAAACAAGTATCACCAAAATAGTAAATCAGGTTATACTATTAAGAAGTATCGAGAAATTTGCATTAAAATACCAATTTCCAATATTAATATACACAATTAAGATAATTGAATACTTGCCTACTTTATCATAAATGTAGTTATTAAGAGAAATTTTGCCTTGTTTTATTTCAACCAAATAAGCAACTTTTCTCAATAAACCTTTACACATATATTTCTTTAGAAATATAGATACTAGACCTACAAAACATGTTATTTATACAGCTATGTTGATACCACATCTACATCCTGTAAATCTTGTGCTTGACCAACGTAAGATGTGTTTAACCATGTTGACTTTTCTAACCCTGACCTTGAACAATCCTTAAACTTAGAAACATATATCCGTAATTAATACGGTGTGTAAGAACACTCTAGAAACTAACGTGAGGATATTTCTGTTTTACAGAAGCAGTTCTGAAGTATTTTGGTAGTACACTAAATCATTTAATCAATTTGTACATATAAAAACAGCTTATATGGTAAGATAACGTCTAAATTAAATATTGCTTGACTTAATTGTTACAGATCTTTGATAAAAACACCAACGTCCAGCACGGAGTGAGCTTTGGTCTACCTGCAAACTGTCTGCAACAAGTGGAAATTGTTACGAAACCACAAGAACCACTTCCGACTCGTGGGAGAAAGACTAAACTGAAGGAAAATGTGGTAGCACAACGAAGATCTATCACTGGAGTGAATGCGAAGAGTGTCAGTTTAACAAACTTATTACAGCAGTTTTACCACTGGATTAATACATATAATATTTAGCATGAAAGTAGTAAACACAATTTATAAGATTGGTCCAAGAAAGAGCTTTTCTGGATTTCGCGATTACTTGGAGTATTTAGGAAATACAAATAATTTTGTTTCTTCAGTTATTTATATAAATTCACCATTACACAGACAAAACTCAGTGTATAATGAAACTAACATACACTAGGTAGTGATGTTTTTCTTGTTAATATTCAAGCCACTTACATAATTAAATAAACGTTCTATAGAACTTTTAATTATTTTATATAGTGTAAAGCTGTCAAATATTGCTTCATTTCAGTGCTAGTTGTAATAATTTTTATACACGAATTGTGGACAATCGGTATTATAATGAAACACTGTACACACACATATATATATACTAAAGATACAAACAAATGCTACCATGTTATTTGACTTATATAGGTCAAAATTACATCTTTTTATATTACTGTGACATAACTGTTTTTTTTTTACACAAACTACTGTGTTACTTATATGATTAGCTATTGTCTTGAGGCCTTCATACAAACTTCATATGTAAAGTAACTGTGATAATTTATGAAGAGTGGGTTTTGTATGTTACTGAACTTGACAGTCATTTAAAAAACGAATTTATCTATTATTTCATTGTAGTTTATTTTTGTAACAATAAGTGAAAAGAAATACTGAATTTACAAGAGACATTTTAATACACCGTACTAAAGACATGCCACTATATTAATAAACGATTAAAAGACCGAAACATGTGTATTATAATCAAACATAGTTATTTTGTGACACCAGCTGTACTATACAGACTAAACACGTAATATTTCAGTTTGTCAGATCATATCATGACGAACGGGTTTTTACCTTAAGGCTAAAAAAAACTAGAATGTCAGCTAGTATACACTTCAAAACATATTTTCCTCACATAGATTTTGAAACAATGAAACACGAGGACATTCCTGAAAACGATTCGAGTTAATATGATCATAGAAAATTTCTTCGTTTAGAAACTCTACAAAACATATCATGCACCTGAAATACGTAACTAAATTGACCTTCTCCATCGTGCTGAACATTAGATCTATTGACTATCACATTACCCCTCGCTTAAAACTGGCATGTTTCACCATATCTTAATATGATATCATCATTATCTGTAAGTAAAATCACAGACTTGTCAAATATCACACATATTAAAACATTTGTTACACAAAAACTTCAAGTTAGAAAAAGACGACTTTATCTATGAGTTATTAAAAATAATGTGTATGCATCTTATTCTTGAAGATTTTAAGAACAAAATATGTAAAGTAACTGTGATAACTTATGGAAAGCAGATTTTGTATGTCACTGAACTTAACAGTCATTAAAAAACGTATTTATCTATTCTTTGATTTTTACATAACAATAGCAAAACTAAATGTACATTCTCTTTCTTAATATTTGACAGTACATAATGAAGTTATTTCTATTTTTAAGTTACTACTTTCTGTTTTCGAGCTAGAACTCACATATTTGTAATTTAAAACTACAAAACATGCAAGATTTCGGTTTGCAAGATCATATATAGACCAATAGATTATGACCTTATGGCTTAACAAACAGTTCGATAACTTTTGATATTTAGGAATAACACAACTCAAAACATGTATGAATTATAAAATACTGGATTGTCAAGGTTAAATTAACTTTCATACAAGTCTAGTACATTTCAGTTAGCATACAATTATTGTCTACTTTCTACTCAATTAGACCCATAAACTGAATATTTCTAACATCTATGAACTAAACTTCAAATATTATACAGGGGATTATGATCTTAGATCAATTGTTTAGGTTTATAACTAAACATTCATAGTAAACTTGCAAGATGACTTATCAAAGACAAAATGGAGATCTCTACTTTCTTGTGAATCTTCCATCCAGACATAAAGCCTTTCTTAAATTGACACTTCAGTTTACTAATACTTACTTTCACTGTGGCGCCTATTTTTGTCAGCGAAATAAAAAAAACATCAGTGACTCATGTTCGACGGAGCTTCGAGGTCTCATGCCGAGACGGTAAAAGAAAAACGTTAACTGTATCATGTTTATCATTATAGAACATACCTTAAAACCAAAATAAAACTATGATCAGTATACTTTAACTTAACTAGTGATGATCAGCTTCTGTATGTCAATAAACATAAATTCAATAAACATAGTTTATTGATTCTTTCACATTACGTAGTGATACAAGATACAAAACACTAAATGTGCATTCATGATATTCCTTTTCTCATGATCTGTCAGGACTTCTTCAATACGTACGTTTCAGTCAGTGTACAGTTCTTGAAGATCTGCCATCGGCTCAACGGTCCGCAAGGACTATGGGAAACAAAAAAAAAAAGATTTTCACTACAGTAACTAATGCAATATTATTAATATTATGCATCATCATTCATTTATATTTTATAAAAAATCACAATCTCTAGTTGCTTTAGTGCTGAACGAAAAATGTGATGTGTTGACATTTTTGACGAGGTAGAGTTAACACTATCAGGCCTTTGTAACGATATAAAGAATGGAGAATGTGCTAAACACTATGATGTTACATCACTCTATCATTGGAACAATAAGTACCCTGAATACCATAACGGACATTTTCAATATAGTGTTATTCTTGTAAGTTCTGTGATCTCACGACAAAACGTATGGGTCTACAAGAAAAGACATATCTATCCTTTTACATGAAATCAATTTATAAACAGCGTTCATATACATTCACTAACTCAAAGCTCGTAAAATTACTATTGTTTCTTTGGCAACACAGGTGAATCGGTATACACAGGCCTGGTAAATAGTGAAAATACCACATTCCTTGCATTTGTTAATAACTGTTGCACGGTAAAGAATCCCCAGCATGATCCTCAAAACCTGCTTAATAGCCAGATGGGTCTTAAAGCACCAAAGTGTGTGCCCCAGACACTTAAACGATAAGTCACTTGATTATACAAGATGGCATAATAAATCTGATAGAGCACCCGTATACATATAATATTCCTACACCTCATCATAATATCAATTACTCTAGCAAGTTTATTTGAATGATCACTCCAAGAATCTTTACTGAATCCACCTTGGGCAGTGGCATACCATTAAAAATCAAATCCCCATTTATCGGTTCCCTAGATATAATCATATATTTCGATTTACTAATATTCAAAGCCAGGCAGTTGTCAATAAGCCAAGCTTCAACATACTTCAACGCTCTGTTCCCAATTCTAAAACAATCAATAAGATGATCGACTCAATAATAAGAGTCGTGTCATCAGCATCTATTGTCACTTGGACATACTGAAAGTAAATCATTCACACAAGTATTAAAAAAGAGGGGCTCAAGGACTGAGTGTTTGGGAACTCCACAGTGAAGTCTACTGAGTTGGGACTTCATTCCGTTAATTTCTATTAACCATTATACGTAGGATTCGTTTTGGATTCGTTTCTACGTTGTTGTTTTTCATTTCTCAAAACAAATATGTGTTAATATTTTTTTACCCATTTCAGATATCTAGATCAATTCCCTAATGTTTAAACCTACCTCAGTACCTCATAAACATTGGGAAAACATTTACCCCTCATATCTCAAAGTACAAACATTATAGAATAAATATTTGTTGTTAATGTTGCGTCAGCGAGTCACATGACTACCGTGACGCCACGTTTTTAGAACTATCTTGTACCTTGTCGAATGCTCTAGAATTTACTAGATATAGGGTAGTCTGGTATATAAAAGAGGGTGACAACGTGACGAGAGAATAAGGTAATGTGTGTGTGAAGATAGTGAGTAATTGAACTGCAGTCAGAAGTATTGTAGATGTTCGTTGATATAGCGTTTGTTTTAGCGCGATTGTTGAAA